ATGCCCCCACAAAAGTCAAATGTCTTTATTTTATATATATAAAAAAAAATTGTACAGTTTTAGTTCCTATGTTTAAGAAAAAAAATCCCTAAAATTGCCAAAATGTTTAGATCCACTGCAAGCTGTAAAAACAAGCTTTTTATATATTAAAAAAAATTTACATTTTGTTATTTTCTACATGCATGCACAAGGTCTCAGCTCTGTAACCCCGCCCCCCCAAAAAAAGAAAAGAAAAAAATCTATATCCAACAGTAGAAAATTCTACATTTACAATCTCACTTGGAAGGGACTCCGAAAGCCCTCTTCCTTTCACGCACATAAGAACAAATCACAACAATCACACAGCAGGACCAAGTACATCAGCAGATGTTGCCAGTGGGGAGGGCAGACGAATGAGAAGACATACTGAAAGACACCACGGAGGGGCAGGAAGCTCATCTGGGCCCAAAAAAGGAGAGGCACAAACTCTGAGAAATAGATGTTTACGATGAGAAGGTTCAGGGGTCCCAATGTCCCATCACAGCTACTGTATCAGGGTTTACAACAGGAATACCGAGGTGGGGATGGGGAAGCAAGAAATTAAGGGCTGATATGGTGGGAGGATGGGAAGAATAATGAGAGACTAGAGGGAAATAAACAAGAATAAACAGAGCACGAAGAGTAGTTTAGAGAAAGGAACCAATGAGGACAGAAGCAGAGTGGCAAGGTAAGTGAAGGACTGAGGCACAGTGTCCTGGTATGAAGGGAAGGAGGACAAGTGTTCCAAATGACAGAAAGGAAGGCCTGGTAAGCATGATGGAGATGCACTAGGATGCCAAGTAGTCATAGAAAAAAAGAGTACTGGAGAGATCCAGCCATAGCATCCCCTATAGTAATACAAGGGGAAGAGAGGTGGCAACAAGAGGACACACCCCCACCAGGGAAGAATGAAAAAATCCAGCGAGTGATGGGACACTGCTCAGAGGGACTGGGTCGGCTGCAGATCCCACAGCAATTCACAGCATGAAGACAACCTCCCATATAGAAGCAAAACACAAACACAGCCACACACTTGACAATTCATCCGGACATTAAAAAAAAATAATAATAAAAATAATCAAAGAAAACAAAGATACCACAGTTCCGACACAAAGGACCAAAACACCACGATTCTGTCACAGCCCTTAGTGCTTAGAGAAAGAGTTGGGGAGAAAATTTTTTGTTTTAGGAAAAAAAAATGAAAGAATCACAGTGATTAAAAACATGGTAGGTTCTTAAAATAAACACTCCCCTGCCCCTAACCTAGGGCAGCAACTAAGATCCCAATTACTCTCCCTACCCTGGCCCCAACTCGCTTCCTCAAACCACACCACATCCCACTCCTGCTCACAAAGGCAATGACCCCGATTCACCATCCAGGCCCCATTTTCCAGGATAGTGAGGTATTTAGAAATGTGACCCAGAGGGGGCGACTCTAAAACCAGGTCTTTAAAGAGAAGAAAAGATACCTTCCCAAGACTCCCCAGGAGAGGATGTATTTCACTTAGGCCTATCCAAAAAACCCAGAGCTCAGCCCAAGGCAGACCTCGAGGCCTGGTCCAAGGCAGCCCTGCAATCTAGCCCTGTGGGAATGAGGTAAGCACTGGCTGAAGAGCCCTTCTCTAGGAAGTGGTGGGTGGACAGGTGTGCTTTTTCAGAAAGAACAGCAGGAGAAAGGCCAATCACTAGGCCCACCCAGCCCAGGACTGCTGCTACACAGAGAAGAAGCCTCCCTCCTGAGACATCGGTGGGGACCTTACCTCAGGGTGCACTCTGAAAGGAAATAACCAATGAGTTTTCAGAGGAAAGACAGGCCTATAAGGGACATTGTGTTACTCAGATTGCTGACCCAGGAGAACACTCCAGCCCAGCCACGAGAACTGTTGCCATGTGGATCTTGGCTGGAGGTATCTGGATGCTTCCTAGTTCTATTGCCCTTGGCTAAAACTACATGATTTAATGGCTCAGATTTACACTGAATATATGTATTAGAAGGTCGGCGATTTTGCTCAAAATGAGACAGAAATTCTCAAGAATTCGGACTGGGTGCAAAGACTATAGAAGGTAATTGGAGTAAGGGGCTAAGTACCCACACAAAAGGCAGCAATCCTGGTCACTCACCCCAATACAGAGGGAGACCAGAGCCCAGAGAACCAGGCAAAGGGAGGAGTGGAGGGAAACCTGGCCAGCCAAGGAAAAGAGACCCCTGAGGCAAAGAAGTGGGCTTAAGGCAGGGGATAAAGAGGAGCTGCTGGCTCCCCCCACAAAAATGATGAGGCAACCGGTCTCTGGAGCTGAGAGAAGACACAGCAAGACTCGGGGTGGCTGGTGAAGGAAAGAAAAATATTTGCCTAAGACCACCGGGGTTGGCTTGGGGTCTGCAAGCCACTAATTCTATACAGGAGTCTATATGCCACCCTTCACTGGGAGGGGGAACCTGCCCCACCAAGGTGGGAAAGAAGGTGAGGGCAAGTACAGAGGTCAGGGGTTGGTGATGTTTACTGGGTCTCTCCTGCCCTCCCCTCAGAAGATGCCTAGAAAAAAGCCATTTGAAGAAAGGTCTCAGGAAAGGGCATCACAGAGGGTTTCTGCCCCAGTTTGCTTGTGGTCGCATGTGACCATACAAGTCAGAAACGGAAGATGGAGATTTCAGGGTAAAGGAGGGATCTTCCTTTGCTCTAAATATGTGTGGATGGGAGAGGGAGGCTCTAACAATTGGAAGCAAATAATCCTGGCAGGGGACCCCTAACTCTGGGGCAGTGTTGGGGGATACGGCATATCCTTGCCCCAAGAACTCAGGGTTTGTTACACATGGGGTGCGTGGCAGGAGAGGCGGATCACCTACCAGCTGGGTCGGGAAGAGCTGCTGCCCCGGAGGAGTTTGGCACCACGGTTCTCTGGAGTCATGTCTGTGACTCCCAGAGACACTTTATTGGGGGCCACTTGAGAGAAGAGCCACAAGAACCTGGGTTCAAGAGTGGAGGCTCAGGAGAGCCCTGTGCACTTTCAGAAAAGACTGTCATCCGGGGAAAGGAGATCGAGAGAGGCACTGAATTTTGCAGGGCCTGGAATGATAAAAAAGTGGGAGTGGGCGGGAGAGGGAACTTCCCAGGTACTATTGACAGCAGGATGATCTCTCCAGGTTCACGTGGGATGAATAAGGAAGAAGGGAAGATACAGGATGGGGGTAAGTTAATTCAAGTAAAAAAAAGGTGGGGGGCAAGAAGGAGGTGGTCAGCCAAGAATATGGCTGGGCCTGAGTTCCAAGCCCTGAGCCCCTCCCACCACCCCAGGAGCCCGGCATCACCCACTCCCCTGCTGTTGCACAATCACACTGAGGTCTCAGACTGCAGTCGCATAACAAACTTGTGTGACTTGGGGTCCACAAATTCCTCAGAGAGTTTGAAAAATGGAACCTTCTTGGTGCTCACCACCAGGCTGAAGTCCTGGCGTTTTAAGAGGAAAACGATGCCATCCTTAAGCCCATTGGTCACCGGCTCCTCGCTCACCAGTGTCCACTGTTTGGCCAGCCAGCGTTCTTTGTGGTACTGGATGGTGGGTCCAGCTGCCAGGTACCGCTCCAGGAAGGCCTGAGGAGGGAATAAAGGCCTGGGTGGGAGGCTCTCCCACCCACCAACCTGCATCCTCTAGAGGCACAGCTTCCAAAGACAACCAAGATGCCTCCAGCTCACTCTGCATATGATGTGAGAATGTGAGAACAGGAAGAGATTATCTGCTTCAGACTCCTGTTTTATAAATAAGAAAGTGGAAGCCCACAGAGGTGATTTGACTCAGCAGGGTCAGCACTAGAACTTGGCTCTTCTGACGCCTTCATTCTCTACTCCTCCCCCCGCATCAGGCGGTGACTCAGGCAAGCCCTCACACTTTCCTCCTTCCTCTCTACCCATCTGGCATGGTTAGCGACAAGCAGGTCTGCAAGAGGTGTCATGATTAAAATGCAACAACGATGACTCAGAGGGAGCAAGTCTAAGATGTGAGCAGTAGAGCTGAGGGGTAGGTAATGGCTCAAAATGGATCGAAAAGAACAAAGAAGACCTGGTGGGGGTAAATGGGTGAAAGTGGGACTTTGGGTCTGGAAATTTCAGAGCCCTTCTAGAGATGAGAAATAAGTCTCACCCATGCTCAAAATGGTCCCAAAGCTCCCCCTTCTCCTCACCACTAAGAACTTCACCCATGCAGAGACGGGGTGGATGGGGTAAGGATGAGAGAAGAGGCTATAGGGAGGTAGAGATGAGTGAGAGAGAGAAAAAGAGAGTAAGGAAAGAAGTAAGAGAATATGAGCAAAAGGATGTGGAGAAGAAGGGCGCCAGAACTGGAGAAAGAGGAAGGATGCTGGGAGCTGAGCAGGCCTACCTTGGGCGTCATGTCGTGCGTGATGCAGAACTCCAGGTGCTGCAGGATGCTCTCCATGGTGTGGTAAGGCTGCTGCTTGGTGGTCCGGAGGTACTTCTGCATGGCACGGGCCATGGACGCAAAGATGGCCTGGGCTGCCTCCCGGGGATCCATCACCTCCCTGGGATTCTTCTGCTCCTCCTCCTGTAGCCGCTTAATGTGAGTGAAGGCCTCCTCCACAGCCACCACAAGCCTGGCGGACGGGAGGGGTTCTAAACCAGATATCTACCTCTCATCTTCCCCCCAGCTCCAGCCATCCAACAGTCTGAACAAGGTCAGGCTTTTGTGTTCTCAGGGAAAGAATATGAACCCATGTGCAGCCAAGGCTGGGCTTTGGGGGCTGCGTGTGCTCATGTGCATATGCTGTTGGGGGAAGGGGAGGGCTCTTCAGCTGCAGAGCTCAGTGAGCCCATCCCAGGGACTTAAAGAAAACATCTAGTGTGAAACCCAGAGACAACTAGGAACTAAGTTATGAGAAAGGCCAGCATTGCATCAAACCCTAGGAAAAGCGTTCTTAAATAAGACCCTCAAATCACTCTTCATCGGGTGAAAAATTAATAAATACAACTACACCAAAATGGCAGATTTCTATTCAACCACGACAGCATGGGCAACATTAACAAACATCTATTGGGGTGGGGGGGGGGGATATGCAAAGAATTTGCTACAAATCAAGAAGAAAAAGGCAAAAACACCATAGAAAAAAGGGCAAAGGAGGTGAACAAACAATTCACGAAAGGCCGAACTATGGATTAGTCACTTGCTAGTAATTAGAGAGATGTTTAAAATGTTACTAATATATTACTTATCCATCAAAGTGGAAAAAATTAGGAAGATGATAATCCAAATATCGGTTAGGATGTTGTGAGTATTCCATGAACTACTATGCAGAGATAGGATGCAACAAGCCAGATGTGTAGGTAACATGGGTGACTCTCAGAAACACAGTCATGAAGAAACAGGAAAAATAAGCCAATTTACATGGAAAGCATAGAGATACATATACAAACCAACACCAGTATTCAGAAGTCTTTCGAGTAGCTTAGAATGGGATTCTAGGCTAAGTAAATCTGTGCATCTACGTACACCTACAGTTTCTTTGTTTATTCTTTTGCTTCCCCTAAGTGTCTCAGTAAGTAAAGTTTCTTTTGAAATGATCTTTTTGTCTCAGGTGAACCAAAAGAAAGTTTTCTCCTGATGACAACCCAGTAATGGAGAAGGGTCACCTATGGGCCAAGAATGGTGGTGGCCAAGCAAAAGATACAAAGACCTTAGACAGGGCAGAGGTACAGGGAGCAAAGGGGACAGAAACCTCGTCTCCTTCGCATGAGGGTCACTCCTGAGACAATTGGAAACGCACTGGAATGTTGCAGAAATGAGGCTGGCTATCTTTGATATACTTCAGGGGACACCAGGCTCATGTAAGAACAGGCTAAGAGCTACCTTCCTCCCTTAATGTCTGGAGATCGTGTCAAAGAGGGGCTTGCCTTGCACCAAGAAAGAATCTTTAGGCGTAACTTAAATTCGCATAATAATATAAATGGGAAAAAAGGAGGAGTGAGGACAGCATTTAAAAATTTACCAAGACATGGGCAATTGACTCATTTTTTGCAGGGAAAAATGTACCATTTGCTGAACAAGCCTGTGATAGACAGTACTTGGAAAGAGGTCTCGCCCAGCCTCAGTCCCTGCTGCTGCAAGGGAGGCTCACATCCCTTCTCTGGGTCCCTGGCCTACTGTGGCAGGTAAAATTCAAAGATGCCCCCACCCACCTCTGCCAGATTCCCACCCTCTGGTGATCCGATCTCAGTACATCTTGGAAGTGCCAAATCAGTTGACTTTAAAATACAAGATTAGGACGTGTTTCCATAGTGTAGCGGTTAGCACATCTGCTTTACATGCAGAAAGTCCTGGGTTCACACCCCAGTGGAGCCATGGTCTATGGCCATGCCACCCTGAACAAGCCCAATGTCTGATCTCGGAAGCTAAGCAGGGTCGGGCCTGGTTAGTACTTGGATGGGAGACCAGGTGCTGTAGGCATAAATAATAATAAGTAATAATAAAAAAATAAAAGAAAATACAAGATTATCATGGTGGGCCTGATCTCATCATAAGAGCTCGTAAAAGCAGTTTCCTCCAGTTGGTGGTAGAAGTCAGAGAGATCTGCTTCTGTTGACCTTGAGGAAAAAGCAAACTGCATATTGCAAACTGCCTACAGGGCCAGGTGATAGTGAGCCTGGAAGACAACCCAACCTCTGCACGAGACATTAGTGGAGGCCTACTGAACCCTGCCTGACCCATGGGACTGTGAGGTAATAGACCTGTGTTGTTTTGCAGAGCCGAGTTGATGGTGATTTGTTTTGGAAGCAACAGAACACAAATACACACCTCCCACCCTGGTCATCATTGCTCACTCCTCTATTTCCATCAGTTACAGAAGCCCATTGGTCTTCCTCTCCTGAGCCACCTATCCACACCCAACAGCTCCTCCTGGCATACATGTACACACAAGCGCATGTGCACGCACACGCACACCCTCAGGACTTACCTGGCCCTCCGCTTTCGCACCCTCCGCTCATGCTCAGCCTCCTCATAGTAGTACTCGTTGTGGCTGTTGTCCCGCCTCCGGGCAGCTGCTGCAATCACAGCCCGGGACTGGCCCGTGGAGTTGTTGGTGCTGTTTTCTGCACAGGAGCAGGAGAAAGATGGGATGGTCACTTTGGAGCATGGCCTTGCTTCTCGCTCCAAGAAGTCTGGAGACAGACTCTGGACACATCCAAAGGAAGCTATGCCCACCCCTGGCAATACCCCCTGTTCCCAATCATTGTGGCACTGGAGAGCAAAAGCTCTGCACATGTTCCTCGCCAGTGCAGGAGGTTCTGGAGCTTATAGAGCTGAGGACTTAGGACCAGGGCTGATGAGCAGACGGAGAGGAGCCAGACTCGGGGGACACACCATGGCATAAAGCGATAGCATGTAGGATCAGCAGCTAAGACCAGCCACCTGGAGTCAAGGGAAAGGACAGAACAGAAGGGGCTGGGACATGGGCCAGGGAAGGAGAAAGCAAGGGAAGAAGGGTGAGAGAGAAATGGGGAAGAGTTAATTTGGAGTCCTGCTTGGGAAAAGACCAAGAGGGTGGAGGAGCAGGGCCGCTCACCCTCTCCGAGGGAATACACCTTGAAGCCAGACACTTTCTTGGCCAGGACGGACTTGGGCAGGTTGAGAAGGGCAGGGTTGTAGACAGGGAAGTCATGGTAATACTTCTCCAGGATCCACACTGCCACTCGCTGGATGCTGTGGGGGAGACACAGAAGGGGAAGGGAGAAGGGACAGACAAGGCGCGCAGGGGAAGGGATACATCAGGGCAGGTTGGCAGGGCAGGAAAGGACATAGGACAGGAACAAGCTGCCAAGAAGCCTGGCTCAGGGCCTGAGGTCTACTTACCAGGCTCCCAAGCCTTCCCTAGGGCTGAGCCCACTGGTACTTCCCTGTCGTGCTGAAGCCCAGGGAAGAGAGGGCATGAAGCCTGGGTCCCCAGCCAAGGGTAGCTCATCCCTCCAGAATTCCCCCCAGGATTCCCTACAGGACCAGGAAATGCTGCTAATACTGGGAGTATGGCCTAGGAGCTTCCTGACTGCAGGTTTAGGTAGGCTGAAGAGCTCTCTTCATTCTCTTTTGCTAGGGGTCCCTCCTCTGGCCAGCTCATCTCAGTAACCACTCATCCTGTGTTCATAAGAGGCTATGCCTCCAAGAAAGAGCTAGAAAAGTGATACTCAAAAGCCCTTGTTTGTGTCCCACACCTCTCTCCTCTTTGGCCCATCCCGGAGATCCCCATCTCCATCTGTTCATTGGTTCACTTCCACTCCATCTAGCCGCAGGACCCTGTGCATGACCCTCTTATCAAGCAATAAACATTGTTGAAAATATGCTATGTGCAAAGTACTCAACTCCTTTCCATATGGCCCTCTTAGCCCCTCATCCCCCATCCCACCACCACAACGCCCTGCCCTCAGTCACCCCTGCCTCCTCCCCATGCCCATCTGCTGGCTCCCAGGCACTCATACCTGAGATGGCCCACGTTGTAGAAGCGGCTGGCTCCATCGGTGGAGCGCACAACCTTGAGTGTGAACTGAGGCTGCAGCTGGCGCAGCTCCAGCAGGACCACTGCCAGGTAGTGCACGAAGAGCAGGGCGTCCACCAGCGATACAGCAAACTGCACCACACCCTGGTAGCTGCGCTCCCGCGCGTCCAGGATGCGCACACCATAGAAGAGCCAGTAGGAGATGACAAGCAGGAAGACGAGCACCATGAGCAGGGCACGCAGCACGAAGACACGGGGCAGCGAGGCCTTGGGCCTGCGGAAGAACAGGGCCCAGCTGCCCAGCAGCAGGATGAGCAACTTGAAGGCCACGGAAATGAAGAGACCCTCGCAGGCCGTCCCACAGGGCTCCAGCTCCTCCCGCCAGAGCAGAGGGGGCAGCAGCAGGAAAGCCAGTGGCGTGAGGAAGGAGAGCAGCGCCAGTGTGGCCCCTGCTGCCACCCCCAGGTGACGGGAGCAGTCCAGTGGGACACTGTCCTCCATGTCCTTGGCGATGCGCGTGAGATCATCATGGGAGATGCTGTGCTCTGAGGTGCCTGTTACTACCGTGGTCGTCTCCCCCCAGTTGTCATCCTACAGCAGGAGGAGCCACAGCAATGGGGGGTGGGGACGGTGAACAGGAGAATGGGTGAGGGGATAAAGACAGAGAGGAGAAGGAGAAGAAAGAGAGAGTCATCAGCCAGTATGAAGCCATTGAGGTACAGACTGAGCTCCACTGTGTCAAAGCCTGGCCTCTGCAGGGATGGGCCATCTGAGACCAGTGCCTCGGGGACCCTCACAGCAATCAGTGTGACAGGAAAGACTACATATGCACAGATGACCCTCAGAGCAGAGAGCACAAGAGAGATGCTGAGGGAGCTGCTCAAGCAGTGACTGGGACCTAAGGTCACACTCACCAGGCAAAGCAGGCAGACCACCTGCAATGGCAAGTTTAGCAAGAAACACCTATTCTCCAGGCATTGAGAGCCACTTGAGGTTTCTGACTAAGGGAGTGAAGATAAGGGGACACCAAAGGGAAAGGAGGGGGTAAGGTGAATGCTTAGTGCAGGATGTGGGCAACGCAGTGCAGACTAGGGCCTCTCTGAGTCTATGATCTGCCCAGCTGGCTCTGCTGGGCCATCTGAATGCCCACAGCACAGGGCTTCCTATTCCTGGAAGCAAGGGGATGGACAAGCTAAGGTCTCCAGAAGCCCTTCTAAGTCTGGTTCACTCAAGCTGTTTCTCTGAAAAGGCTAGACACCATCCCATAGGAGAGCCCCAAGATCACCAGGAACCATCAGTATCCATGCTCTTCACTCCAAGACAGCTTGAAGATATGGAGTCACATCCTATGCCTGGGGAACTTAGGTGACAGGACTGAGACATGGAATGGGGAATGTAGGAGACTGCTTGGCAGGGTCCATGATTAGGGGGTTGAAGAAGCTCCTCTCCCAAGGATAAGAGTCTAATCTGAACACAGAAAGTAGATGTGCTGACCACCTTCGGTTCAAGAAACAGGGTCTACCGCTCACCCCAGTGTAACTCCAGACACACTGTCTATCCTCCCAAAGATCAAGGTGTGGGAATTCCTCCCAACAGCACGTGAGCCTAGCACATCTCAGGGTCACTTCAAGAATTTAGGAGGCAAGGTCTCAGGGAGAAGATGGGATTGGGAACGAGGAAGAAAAAACATTTCCCTCTGTTATTAATCTGTCCCCAAGACCCAGCAATTCCCAATATCAGTCACAGAGAGTTCTTGTGAGGAAAAAGGAGCTGGGAGTCTCCGGCCCCCTACGATGCCCCCAAGGAGAAAGAAGAGGAATAAGACATGGGCAACCTACAGTCATCTCACATCCCGGCTCTGTCCTATGCCAGCCCTGTGTTCTGCCTACTGATCCCTCTACCAGGTGGGCACAGGGGGCCACAGAAGTTAGAGCAGGAGCAACCTGTTCATCCTTGTGAGGGAGAACTCTCTTCCTCTCTGTCCCTCCCCCTCATCTCCCAGCCTCACTTGTTCGCAGGTTCCCTTTCACCATCAACTCCTCCCATACCTCTTTTCCCCACCAAAACTCAGGTGATGCTATTCTACAGGCTGACACCAGAGGGCGCCAGAGTGCCAGCACCTTAAGGCTCAAGGAAACTCAGGGGGCTGCCCACACCTCCAGTCCCAATACTGCCCTCCAACTCCCATTCCCAGGAGCCTGACTGACCAGCACTGGCCAGAGGAACTACTAATCCCAACCTCTTTAGAGATGAGGAAGGAAGGAGCGGCTGTTTCCAAAGGGATTTCTACTGAAATTCCCTGAATTCCACTGAAGTGGGGTTCAACCTTAGAATAAGACATGTCTTTTCAAATCTGGCCTCTGTAAGAAGAGATCAGGCTTCCTGACCTTTCCCCTTGCTGGCAGACCTCCGGCTTCCCCAAAGGTCAGTCTGGAAACACCTGACCTACACATCATCCCGACACTCACCCGCTCATCCCCCCGTGTGGACTCATTGTCCAGCAGGGGCTCCCCTGGAGCCTGGATTGTCACTGACTTGTCCCCACGGCTCCCATCTCGGCTCTTAGAGCGGTGTCTGTCCCGGCGGTCCCTGCAGCAGGAGGCCAGGGTAACAGGCACAGGTCAAGGGGAGGACCTGGGTCTTCTCAGCAGCCACCCCCACCACACTGCCCCACGCATACCCACCTCTGAACCACCCCCAACCTCCTTCTGCCACCTGTGTCACCTGTGCTTGCGGGAGCTGCGGGAGTGGCCTGACTTGTAGGAATAGCCTGAGTACTGGGACTCAGTGTCCATGGCGTCTGAACGCCGTCCCTTGTAGCGCTCCAGGGCCACAGGCTGGGGCCTTTGCGGGGGCCCCACAGCCACCTCCTTCAGCACTGGCTTCTTCAGGCCAAGGGGCACCTTCAGGAAATCAACCGTCACCCTGAAGGACTCTATTTTGCTGGACGGGTGGGCTTGTCTCAGAGAAAATCAAGCGACGCTCCTAGGGAGAGGAAGCAGCTGGTTAGCGGTAGCTGAGCTCCTGTGGGAGGTCAGGACAGAGGAAGACCAACCCTAAATAGCAGCCGCCAAAGCTCAGGGGAGCCTGGCCACTGCCTGAGACTATTCCACCCAGGTTCCTGCTTTATCCAAGCGGCCTGGTTCCTCCTGTCCTGTCTCCTGGAAAGCGCCCTCAGACAATGCCAAGGGCTCGGGATAGAGGGAAGATACTAGCGAAGACCACCCAAAGTGACCCAATCCTGGACCCCGGAGGAGAGAACCAGGGCAATGCATTCCTATTCTCAAACAGGCTGAAAGGGCAGGTGCTGGCCAGGCTGCGCCAATGGGAGACCCCAGAGAACAGGAAGCATCTGGCAGTCCTTCTCTTCAAGTCATCTTCTCCACCCGCCAGCTTCTGAGTGTGCCCACAGCGGGGCTGCCTATGACTGTTCCCTTGGCATTATCTCTCCAGCATCTACACATACACCCACAGTTACCCTTCAGGTCAGGTTAGCTGCTGCTGCCCTAGAGGCTGAGTGTGTGTGTGCACATGCGTACTAGGTGGCAGGGTGAAGGATGGCAACAATGGATAATGTGGTGGGGGTGGGGAGAGAAGGCAAGTAGAAACTATTCTTCAAAAACCTAACATCTTGAAATTGGCAAGATGGTGATTTCATCTGGCTATTTGTGGGCTGAGGGGTAGCATCCTTCATCTACATTTTCACGTTCTAACTCTGCAGAGGACAATGACCTCTCCCTCTCTTTCCCAAATCCTGCTCATTCTTCAGAATCGGACCCCAGTCCTTCTTAAAAGCCCAGCCCCCTGCCTACTCTACACCCAATGTTCTATCTTCTCCTCTGACCCCGACGCTACCAATCGTCACCATAGACTGAGCACTTATGTCTGATCTTTACTCACTAAGTCATCAAATCTTTCTTGAGCACCTACTATGAATCAATGTACCCTGGGTACACAGTGGTGAAAGAGACCTGGGTTTACAGTATAGCGGGGCAGGTGCACACTGAGCAAGTAAACAGGTGAGTATAAATGACTTACTGTAGGAGTGGTGGAAGAAGACCAGCAAACTATAGAGACAATTCCAGGGAGTGGGAGCTACCTTAAACTGGGAAGCTCTGGAAATTCTGAGAAAAAGACACCTAAGGTTGAAGGAGAGCAGGAGTTAACCAGGCAGAGTAGAGAGGAAGCCCATGGAGCAGAGAATCACACATGGGAAGGCCAAAGGCAGCGAAGGGCTCGGTGTGTTTAAAGAACCTTAAAAGGCCAGTGGAGCAAGGAAGGGAGAGAGCAGTGGAAGGAGGAGCTGAAGAGACTGCCAGGGGCCAGGTTATTGAAAGATCCATGGGCCTTGGGTTGTATTCTAAGCAAGGGGAAGGCTGAGATGGACTTTAGCTGTGCAGACATGGACTGTTAAAAGGGGACAGTAGAAATCTGGAGATGAGTAAGGAGGCCACTGCAGCCACGCAGGCTTGGATAGGGCAATGCTGCAGAGGAGATAAGAAATAGTTGTGTTTGAGATAGATGATAGTAGGATCAACAGGCCTTAATGAGGACTGAGGAGGAGCGCAGGGTCCAGATCTCTGGCCTGAGTAAGAGTTTATGGTAGTGCCCTTTTAACGTGGGGGAGACTGTGGAAGAAACAAGTTTAGCAGGGAAGATGATCCACTTCATTTCCAGCGTGCTGAGTTCAGGGCTGTGAGAGGCAGTAGAGTAGGCAGCTGGTGTCAGAGAAACTGGACTCAGAAACGAGTCCCAGCTGGAGATGCAAGGTCATGGGAATAAATGGGATCAGCTAAGGAATTAAGTAAGGGGTCCCTGAGAGCCCCAATGTAAATGTGTCCAGAGGAAAAGGAGCAGAGAAAGGTCTGAGAAGGTGGGACCAGGGGAGTGAGCTCTCATGCAGCCAAGGACTCAGAGCTTCCTGAGGTGAGAATAAAATCAGCCAGGTCAAGTGCTGCTGAGAGGTCGATTATGTTAAGAACAAAAATGGGTTTGCTTTGTGTAGCTGTTAACTTTTCCCACAATGAAATTAAACCATCGGCAACTAGCAAATAAGGCCTATGATGATATCTACTACCCTCCTGTGGGCAAACAGAGTACATAACTGACACCCACCTAGTAAATGAATATGCCTCTGACTCTCAGGGAAATGGTAATGAATGCAGGGAAATGAAATCAATGCTAAGTCCATTCATTTATCCTCCTAACAGAGATATCTGGAGGCACTCCATGGTCTGGTGATGCTTGTCATATCCTATATCAAAGCAAGTACGTGATAGAGGCACACCTAGGGGACAGAAATGTAAGACCTTAACCCAATCCCAGACCTTTCTTAAAAACCTTTGCCACAGGCAAGGCCATTGTTCAACACCCTGTGTGCAGTTTCCAGCCACCTCCTGAGAATCTGCTCTAGTGGTTTAGTCCTCGACACAGCTTAGACATCTCACCTGCATCTCTCTTGCTGTGGTTCAGCCTATTCTTTCTAGTCCTCCTCCTAAAACCTAAATTTCACTAGGAGGTTCAAAGAGAGCAAGTGGGTTACAGAACAAGGAGGGTGGAGACATTAAGGTGAAAAGGAGTGCCATGGATCGGGGTCCGGAGACACCAGACTATGCATGTCCTCAGGCTCATCTCGAATACTCAGGTCTGCCAGAGCCAATGGTGAAAAGAGCCTGGTATTTTCAATCAAGGATGTGCATTCAAAACCTAGCTCTCCCATTGCGTAGCTGTGTGACCACGGGCAAGTTACTTCTCTGTGCTTTGTAGTCTGGTAGGCTCATCAGGAAAACAGGGAAAATGATATATACTTGATAGGGCTGCTGTGAGGATCCTAGAGGTAAAAGAAGTGCCTTTATAAACTGCTCAGCTAGTAATTAGGTAAGCAATTAACATGCTCTGGCTCCAGGATCACTCATACTCCAACCGCCGGACACTTCCTCTGAGAGTTGGTTGGGAAAGAGGTGACATATAAAAATCCTGGTGTTTGTATGACTAAATAAAGAAGACACACACAGACACACACACAGACACACACACAGACACACACACACACACACACACACACACACACCCTGACCAGAACCACCACTTCAAACACACCCAGGTGGGAAGCCATTGTATTTCCCCTACAGATAAATTTCAAACTGGACAAGGGTGCCAGTCTCCTCTCAGTCTTTTGTTCTGAGCTGCTCAGCCTAGAGCCCTACCTTCTTCCCAGCTACTTTTTAGAGACATAAACCCTGTTCCCCTGCTCTGCTTCTCCCAACCCTACCAACCCAACTCAAGGTACCCCAAAAGCACCAAAGCATGTTCCTCCCTCCCTTGCCAAACAGAGGGGCCAAAAATGAATCGAATTTCAGAGATCTTTGCTTTCCGTCCCCTTAAGTACCCCAGGGAACTAATCCAAGCACTGGAGAAGCTGGGAGGAGGGATGGTGAGTGAGCAAAGAAGAGAAGGGCAGAAGTTCCCCTGGTTTAATCAGTCTCAGGAATCAGGGGTTTGGAGGTTCTCCAGGGTGGGAAGCATTCCCAGGGAAGACAGTGGAGGCAGGGATCACTGTATGAGATCAACAAGTGGAAAAGGAGGAAGGCTTGACTTGGTTGGGGGCAGGGAGATTGGGGGTGGGTGGCAGGCTATAAAAGAGTGTCTCATTGCCTTTCACCTTGCCCCCTCCCCAAACACACAAACACACTCCGTCCCCTGCTCAAACCAATCATGGATTATCTGGGGTTAAAAGGAGGCCAGAGTGGAGAGAGGAAGGGAAGAGAGAGTCCCTCACAAAAAGGAGACCCTTCTCCCTTCCAAAGGCCTTTCAGAAATAAAATTAATGGAATGTGTCTCAGTATCATCCCAAGGGGAATGGGGGAAGGAGTAGGGGGGAATGTGGGGGCTTTTGTCCTCGCTGCCCAGCTTCTCCCACATTGATCACCATGGCAACCAAAGCCCCCTGTTGCCTAGGTGATGGCAGCCAGGTCCTGGAACCCATACCCAACATCCAAAGCAAGGGAAGTTATGGAGGTGGGGGGTTAGGGACAGAGGGAGAAAGAATGGGGTTTCTCTTCTGGCAGCCCCAGCTTTTGTCTGAGCTCTGGGATCGGGTTTCTTCAGAAAACAATCGGAGCCCTCTGAAAAAAAAACGCTCAGAACCTGGCAACAGGCAGGAGCAAGGCCCTGCAGGGAGGGTAGGGGGAGGTTGGTGTTGGCCAAAATGGTAACCAAGACTAGACCCTTCTCCATTGCCCCACTCAGAAGAGCAGCTCAATTGGACAATGGCTTGGACACAGACGAGGGCACCCCTATGTAGGGCACGTGCTGAGGACAGATGACCAGGGGCCAGGCATCTGTGGTCACCACCTCCTTCTTCCACTGCTCTCTGAGGCCATCCCACTGCCCAGTCCCAGCTCCTTCAGGCCTGAG